GTATATATTTATACTATTAAGACATATAAGTAAAAGCCATTTATTTCGACAATTGGTGAAAAATTATATTTTAAATTCCGACAGTTAGGTAATCATAAATATCTTATAATTTACAGAAGGGTACGATTTTGAGCTTGATATTTTTCAGAGACATGGATTTATCTGGATAATTTTCAAGACATTTTACAAAAACATTCATTATTTTATACTTTTCTGAAATGTTAACTAACATAACAGCAAAAAATAAAAAATAAAATTAAAACAATGATTCCATAATTAAAGACAAAAGATTTTTCCATTGTATTTCTTACCTTATCCATTTCTTTCGATATTCGTTTAACCTCTTGAAGCCCCAGCTGGTGGATTTCTTCAGGAGTCATGTCAGTTGAGGTATGAAACCGAAGACACTGCTGATAAAACCTTTTTCCATCCGGAAGAGTAGCAGCACCAGTATGAGGTCTTGTGGCAGTCATGTAATCCTGCAAGTGTCATAACTTAATAAAGTTATAAATTGCAGTTTCGCGACAATTTTCTATAAATTTTGTGAATCGCAAATTAGATAAGTATTTCTATAAATGTTTTGATCACGTGTGTTTTATACAACATTTCAGTATTTCTATAAATGTTTTGATCACGTGTGTTTTATACAACATTTCAGTATTTCTATAAATGTTTTGATCACGTGTGTTTTATACAACATTTCAATATTTCTATAAACGTTTTGATCACGTGTGTTTTATACAACATTTCAGTATTTCTATAAATGTTTTGATCACGTGTGTTTTATACAACATTTCAAATAACGATTTATCCATTTGCTTAACATATACTTTGATATTGCGAATAACAATTTATTCTCGTGTTGCTACAAATATAATAAATTACATTTTACAGTTATTATCCCTTTATTGCTATGAATTAATGTTTAATTATAACGTTGAGAACATAATTTTAGTGACATTTTTTGCACATTTGTTTAATGATACTTTACTTTTGGGTTTTCACCAAATTACAAAATAATTTATTTACGCCTTAATATAAATGTAAAGTAACACAGTTTAATATGCTCACACAAATATAGTATATCACAATTTCAGCAACATTGAATTATAAATATTGTGACTCTTTCCACATTTCTACAGAAAAATATGAATTTTTTTAATCCACACAATATATAAACAAAAATTTAGAGTCGAAAGGGGCAAAAAATGGGGAGTTGACGTGTTATTTTAGAGCTATCACGTTTAATAATTGCCATGGAGATGCAAAGGATCATTTGAACTAAATATCTAGGTTTAGATTCCCAATATTTTCATATTGAGGGGGGAGGCCCTAAGTAGAGTTGGCAGTCTCTTTTGGAAGCTCTGAAGAGTAGCTGCATGGATTTACGTAAACTTAAGAAAACTTGTCGTTCAAAAAAATTGTGCAACTATTTTTTATGTAGTTCTTGTTTCTCGAGAAATTTTCTCGTGGCTAATTAAATAATCATATATATAAATTAAATGAAGCTTGGTGTTATTATTTCAGACAACCTTTTTGTTGTTTCTAAAATGAACTGTAACTGAGCCAATGCTATTAAGTAAGGTAAAATAACAAATCTTTTTAATTACCCATACTTCTCTAAAACGTTCTGTTCTTACAACTCTCTAAATAACCAGCAAATCAATAGTTTTAGCGGATTATTCAAATATTAACTTTTCTATATGAAATGTATAGGTCAAAAACTCACGTTTTTTATGAAAGTCCCAAGCTTCTTTAAAGAAGGTAACACTTCTCTTTCAATAACCTTTTTCCCTTCAGCCTTCAGCATCTTCCTGTTAACATACATATAGATACGTAGAATAACCACACACACAAGACAGTGTACATTCAGACTGTTAAGGCTATGGAGTGTATGACTATTGCCAACTAAATATGTACACTGAAGTCACTATACTGGCACCCTGTTTACATAGAAATATCAACAAGAAACGTTTCTAAAGGTTAATCTCACTTTATAAAATCGATGTTTCGGGCTCCAAGCTGTTATTAGAACTACTTTCTCTATTGTCAGTCGTGATCAGTCTAATGGCTATAATTACATACATTTACCAAACACCGCAATTTCCATTGTAATAAATTTCTGCAAGGACAAGTATGGTCAAACTTAAAAACGACACTGGTAAATTTTCCATAGACCTTGCACTGGAAGTGGACACCGGCTTTCAACACCACATTTAAGAAAACAAGAGACAAAGATTTTGGAGCAACATCGAGGGATGTGATAGGTATATAGTCAGATGGGATTGCCGTGATTCAAAATTCGTCTACTATCTTTTTCATAGCAATAGCCTATAGTTTTAAATTGTGGCTGGAAGCTTGTGAACTTTTCACTTCTGAGCATTCGTAAAATTTAATATCCTTGTTTGTATTACTAACATCTCAAGAAGATATGGTTAATTTCACAAATATACCTTTTTTGGGTCAGAAGATTTTCTTTCGTAACCATAATTTTCAGTATATACGAATTGTTCCAGATTAGCTTAAGACGTCGTTTTGGAGCCCATTGCTTTCCTAAACACTATGTTGTACGAGATTTTCTGCTTCATATCGAAAACAATTTTCGAAACGTTGTCTTTTCATATTATATCATTTAGAAATCTTGTTATACGAACATCCTTTCTCAGAAAGGGTTGTGACATATTCCTTCAGACCTTCTGTTCCGTATTAGCAGTCCGCAGTCGAACGGCGGGAATTTTCTGAGAACAATCATATACAGGTGTTGAGCTTATCTCTAATGACACCACGGTTCGCATTTGCAGCGACATGCCCTTGAGTTATTATATGCAGATCGATTTTATAAAATGCGATTAATCCTGTTTAGAAAATAATTAAATTAATACTGGAACTGGGACCAAGGTAAACTTCATCGCACATTCAGGTATTTTGTAAAATTAAAAAAAAGTAAATTACACTGGTATGACAAATATTAGTCGTGTTTGAATTAGTTTTATAAATGCTATACTTGGGGATGCATACTAAATCCTACCTGTGTATAATTCTGTGTTGAACTA